ATTAATGGACTGTTTTTAGCAAGTTACACCAATCAAATGAAATTAAAATTATACAGCATAATAAAGTTCTTACCCCACAAAGATACAAGCGAGAAGGACATCAAAAGTCTCATCATGTCACTCCTCATTCTTTTGTTTCCTGTCACTGGCGACAACTTATAGGTAGTGAAAAAACCACACCCATCTCCTGTTAACACAGGGTGGTGCAAAGGGGCAACAGCTGAAGAGCAGCACAGCAGTCAGATGCAATTTGCAGCCTAGCATCTCTCTCTATTCTTCCTTCTTTCCTTTCTTCCCTTCCATCCCTTCCATCTGTCTCTCTCTCCCTTCCTTCCCTCCTCCCTCCTTTCCACCACTCCTTCCATCCCATCCTCCATTCCTCCCTTCCTTCCTCCTTTCCTGCCTCCAGGGCTGTGTCCATAAACTTTTGCCAGAAACTGCTTTTGTCCTCCCTCTCCTTTACTACTCCTACTCTATTACTCTGGAATATGGTGGAGGAAACAGGGGGAGGAAAGGAGCACGAGGAATTGAGAAAACAAGGAGGAAATGGGACGGCTGATCTGTAGGAAAAGGCAATGACTTTTAGAGTAGATGCAGCCTTTCTGTCCCTTCTAACCTACCTTGAAGGCATTTCTTCCTTCCTTGCTTCCTTCCTTCCTTCTACTCTTCCTTTCTTCCCTCCCTCCCTCCCTCCCTTCCTTCCTTCATGAGTAAGTGTTCAAATAAAGTTCTAAAATGCCAAACAATAACTTTGCCTTTTTGTCCCAACATATTTGGCATCTTACATGACAATAATATTAAGAAATGTTGATGCAGAGATTCATAAGTCTAACTCAAAGCAGTAACTTCTTAAAAATAAACTCTGAAAACCAAGCACTCTTAAAATAATAGTGTCAGGAAGTGTTCTTTGGAACAATGCCCATAAAAAATCCTTCCAGTTTCCTAAGGAACATTTAGAGCCATTTAAGAACATTGTTGCCAAATCTTCTCCTGAATTCAGTCATGTCCACTTTGGCTGGATCTCCATCTTCAACATACTTGGAGGAGACCAACTTTCAATTCTGCCACATCAACTAAAAGAAACCCATGTTGGCTAGCATACCGCTGACTGTCCAACCCAACCAGAGAGAGCTCTCTTAGATTCCTACCCCAGATGGCTGTGGCATCGAAGGGAATCTGGCAATCTCCCAATGATAGAGCTAGCTGCTGATTGGGCTATTGCTTAGATGGTTAAGCCAACTAGTAGGAACCTCATTTTGAATGGGAAAACTGGCTTAGCAGTCCAAAGATGTGTCTAGTGAAGCTCCCTGTGCTAGCAAAAGTCACGTCTTCATGCATGCTCTTATTCTAACCACATTTACTGTTACTGTTATGATAAGACAGGTCAGGTGCCTAAAATACTACTCGGTCAATAAATGGAAGTGATATAAAAGTAGGCAATCTCAGTGAACTGAATGATGTATGAAATTTTAAGGCACTTACACAAAAGAACTCAAATGACCTTGGCAATGCCATCACTTTCCTTTCTGCCATTCTGTTCCAGTATGAGTGCTCAGCTGTGGAAGCAATTCACATTCTGATACACATGTGACTAGACTAGACTAGTAATGACTGTTGCATGTTTATTTCTATATTGGGTCATTTCACCAATGATCTTCTGCAAACTGACCAAGTGCACATGTATGTATGCAGTGGTGGACAGTAATGAAGTAAATGTAATTCGTTACTGTACTTAAGTAGTTTTTTCGTGTATCTGTACTTCTGTATTTCCATTTTGGGCAACTTTTTACTTTCACTCCACCACATTTCAAAGTCAAATATCTTACTTTTTTCTCCACTACATTATGGAAAATCTGTCATTCCTTTTGTCTTATGTGTGCATAAAAATGTAACATGTCAAAACGAAAGAAGTGTGAAGCAGCACACCAATCAGGGCACAGCACGCACTTTGTTTTGAGCTTGTTTTGACCTGTTGGACATACTGACCCAGTGCAAGCACACGGTTTAACATCAGTGCAGCAGTGTAAAAGTTTGGGAGAGTCTATTCAACATAAATGATGAACTAACCTAACTTTGTGTAAATAGACCACAATATAGAAATATGTACACATATGCAGTTGTGACTGACGTGTCTTTATTCTGAATTTATACAAACACTATTTCATTTTATAGTAAATTTGTTTTTGCTAGTTTATGTTTATGAACAGAGACCTACAGATGCAGTTTAGTAAAGGAAAACTCATTTGTGAATCTGAGTTTAAAGCAAGTTTTTATTAAACTTACACTTGTAATTAAGTTGCAAATAAATCTTAAACTGAAACTTTGCTTGTTTGCAAAAAGTTATTTCAGAGCCACTCAGTTCTACCTGGTGGAAACTCTTTACCTTCAGTGTTTTGTGCTTATGATAATTTTAATAGACATCAGCGTCAGACTAATTAATGACATTCTATTAAAATATTGGTGTTACTGAGAGTGACACTGGAGCATTTTCACCTAAAATGAGTTAATGAAGCGAGAGTCTTGTTACAAAAATGATAATAGGACATTAGAGTCATAATTAATCTTTTAGTACTTTTACTTTCGATACTTAAGTACATTTGAAGGCAAATACCTTAGTAGTTTTACTTAAGTGAGGTCTAAAGGGAGGAACTTCTACTTTTACTGGAGTAATATTTTACCTTGGGTATCTCTACTTTAACTCAATTACATGATTTGTGTACTTCATCCACCACTGTATGTATGACATCTTCATTTGGACCTAGACCTAAAACGCCACTGACAAGCCCTGCCATGATTAACCCATGAGAATAAGAAAAAATACAACATCTATTCCTGTTTGAGCAGCTAAAACATCTGCCTCATGTGCTTAGTTACATGTATCTAATTATTTACACATGGGTCATTCTACAGAAACGTCCACTTTATATCTATCCATAGGAGTCACTGGTGTTATCAATCCTCATTGATGTTACACATAAGAAAGGTAACACCAGTCACATTTTTAATAAAAAAGGCATTTTTCAAAATGGCTGCTACAGAACATCAAACCACATGTTGTCAATCATGGAATATCCACTAAAATATGTAATTCAATCCATTTGTATTCTATTTTTTCACAACTACCTAAGAATAAAGTGGGTCACACCAGTGACTTCAGCTAAAAGCTGCATATGAAATTATGAGCTAAATGAGAAAATCTATGATAACTGAAAGACACAGTGAACTTATCATGTGCTTTTCTTCATAGATCCCCAGAAAACAGGTAAAAGGAAGTCAAGTGATGTCATCAGTGTGATTTTTATTTCAAAATAAGAGATTTTTCATTACGCAGTAACACCAGTGACACGACTCCTGGGGACAACAACTTTCATTATATATTTTATAATATTTATTTGCCATTTGTTTTCTTTATGTCATTTAATTCATATGTTTCATAGCCATGCATAGTTTATTGTTATTGCAGTTTTTACCTCAAAATATGAAACTCACCCTTTACAAATGACTGTGAGGACAAGCACTTCTACGGTGCTTGAAATTCTATAAAAAATATTGCTGAATTGGTGGCTCAGGAAGGTGGAATTGTAGTTTTGTTTTATTTTAAAATATAAATAACCCTAACATGTTTTTTTTCAATTGTAATATATCTGTAAACACTAGGGACACAAAAATGGACATGTCTGTAGAATGACCCATATACACACATGGCCTTTTCTCCTATTCTTTAACTATAATAAATAATATTTGCAAACATTTGTGTGTGCAGGCAATATTGATAGACAACATAAAGAAACTGAACCTTTGATGAAATCTTAACATCACAACTGAATTTTGCACTAATGCACTCTGAATGACATTGGAGGTCAGAGTGCTCAGACCATGCTTCTCCAAAATAAAGCAACAGGCTGCCTTCTTTCTTTTTTAGACATGAAGAACAGAGACACTGGCCAGTGTCAGCATGGGTTTCTCATAGCAGTGCAGACCTGGGGTGCACACAGCAACACCCTCACAGTAATGTTTTTGCAGAGCGCATTGCTCTCTGCAGTGAAATGATGTATGGACTTCCCCCTCATTTCCATTTAATGTTACCTAAGACTGTATGATGTGTTTCCTGTCAAAACATGCTTGAACATGAAAAGAGGAAGTGGTTAATGTATTCATGAAACATGGCTGTGTTTGATGAGTTCATGTTTAGCCATTATTACGCTTCATTATATTGGCTTTAATAGGAATGTGTTATCCATTAATACAATATCTCTAGCATGCAAATATAGATATGGGACTATAAAAGAGGTTTGGATATTGGAGTGTGTGTGTGTGTGTGTGTGTGTGTGTGTGTGTGTGTGTGTATGTGTGTGTGTATGTAGCATGTAAGCATCTATAATGGCAAAACTGCTTAGAAACATACAAGCAAACTTAATGAAAAACAAAAATAACTTAATAAAATGTGACTTAAGCACACATTAACATGACACATTGAAATAGCACTTGAGCTTAAAAGTAGGATACCTGATGCAAGGAAATGCGATATTCCTGTATAGAAAGATAAACGGTTTCCTGTCTGAGAAAGGGAGGCTTTCAAGCACTGGTTAAAGTGAATGGTAGTGAATAGAAACACCCCTCATATAATTTTGTGCATTGTACACTCTTAAAAAAGAAGGTTCTTCAAGGGCTCTTTAGTAAAGAAAATGGTTCTATATAGAACCATGAACACTTAAAGGGTTCTATATGGCACCCAAAGGGGTTTTTCTGTTGATAAAAGCTTGGCATCAATTAACAATAGCAGAACCCTTTTCAAGAAAGGCTCTTTATAAAACCATCTACAGCACATTCTCCATCAATCTGAAGAGCTCTTTCATGATGCAAAGAACCCGTTAATCATGCAAAGGGCTCTTTGAGTGTTCATGGTTCTATATAGAACCATTTTCCTTACTAAAGAACTCCTGAAGAAAGATCTTTTTCAGGAGTTTGTGCATTTCTGTAGCATGTGACTGCCCTCTAGTGGTTAATACCTGGAAGTGCAGCTCTCTCTATGTCAGCCTGTGGTGGGTTGAAACGTAAAATTAAACAATCTGAAAGTGTCCATACAAGGCTCAGATGGTTGGACAGATGGATGGTTAAATATATAAATAGATGTGCTTCAAATTAGCATTCATGCAATATTATTATCCTCATTTGTCAGCTCTAAATATTTAATTCATTAAATCCATTTTTTCACTTTTATTGGATTGCATATTCGTATTTTAAATTTATATTATATCAAATATTTGTATCATGTTTTTTGTTAAGACTTGAAGTGAAAAGAATGAGTTATTACTTGTCAAGAAAGCATGTGATTATTGTGACATACGTAAATAAGACATAGATAAAATATAATACGCCAGAAATAATAAGTAAATCTGCTTCAGAGGACAACAAATGTAGCATTAAGAGTTTTACAAGGCAGCCAAAAATTGAGATTTGAACCTTAACCTCCAGCATATAAAGCTTCAACATTTCCCACTACATTAACTGCTACAAACTGATGAGTTATAATTGTGTTTAACACAACACAGCATAAATGCCTGTTTTTTAAGAACTCTGTTCTTGCCAACCTCATTTTGTTGTTGTTCAAGGTACCTATATTATGAAATGTGGTGCTGCTATTGGTGCATTATCATTGGGCTCACTGGGGTGATGCATGCATGCATGCATGTGTGACAGGTCAGAGTTACTGGGGTGAAATCTCCACATGTGGACAGTTATGCACCAGAGGAGGTGCCCAAAAACAATGAAGCACCTGAGCTGACCCACAAGCTCTATTCCCAGGGAAGGTCACCTTCAGCTGAGCCGATTATGCAAAATGTCCATATAAAATACAGTTATTATACAGACTGACCAAGAGGGTAGAGCTCTGCGGACAGATCTTTTAGTCCTGCTTCCACATAATTTCACCCTGATCCTGCAGAAAGTCTGCACTTTGTCCTGCTCCCACCCACAGTCCTGTACAGCTGGTTTCTATCTGCATTAGTCAAGATTAATAATGACTGTCATATAGCAGACATATCTTAAGATTTTCAAGAATGCAAGCTCAAGCCCCTCTTGGCGTCTATCTGTGCGGGAGCCTGAGTACACAGTTAGAAACAGAAAGGACCAGGTTTAAAAGGTGAGAGGGCAGCTGAAAACACCAACAGAAGGAAAAAACGGAAACGTAGGCATTTGTTGGTATTTGGTGATTTTTGCTGGAGATCACAGAGAGTGAAAAGGGTGATTAATCTTTGCTTTTGATTAATGGGATTTTTCTTCATCTTCGGTCAGTCAGACATCTGGCGCTTCATCTTGTGATGCTGCGTCTTGTGCAGCTCCGTCTTGTGATGCTGTTGCTGCTTCTTGTGATGGAGTTTGAGGGCTGGCATTGCCATTGCTCTCTTGATCCTCCAGAGGAATTGGTTCATGATTCCCTTGATTCCCTGTCTGTGAGTGCTCTGTTAAATAAACAAAACAGAAAAGACAATAATGCAAAAACACATAATCTCCAAAAATGTAGCTCTACAGGAGAAAGATTAAAGCATTCATAACATTCAGTATACACGTATGTAATAAAATTTGTTCTAAATAAATCATGAGCATTTCTCTTCGCTTATGTATCAAGAAATGCACAACAAAAACACATCGAACATGATAAATAAAGGCTTTTATATCAGAACAGTTCCATGTTGATCTAAGGCTGCGTAGATGAATTACAGGCCCTAAAAATATTATTTGCAATTTTATACAATGAAGGCCTTTTTTGAGGTTAAAGGTTTTCCTGGACAGTTTGCTGTATAGCATTAATTTTCATTAATTTCTACAAATAGTGAAAAGTTTTGTAAAATAAATAAGTGTTATCAAATAAGCCCTTGTGTATGTATTTCATTATATTGTTTATGGTATGAAACAAACAAAAAGATCTGTTTTAGTGTTCATACCTTCATTAGCTCGTCTGTAAGTGTTCTAGAAATAAAGAGATTAAATTTGAAATTCGGTACAGATGTAGGTTTGCAAATGTAAATAAAATAATGAAAATATTTAGAGCATATCTTGGAAAATCTCAAGTAAATATTGCTTTACTCAGAATGTTTGATGGAAATATTATCGATAGGAAATAATCAGACACCAAGGATCCAGTACTTACTAATTTTTTGCAAGTGCTTATCAACAGAACCTGTAAATAAATAACATCCATCAATGGCTTCATTAGTGATTTTTTTTAATCAGACTGTAATGCTCATTTCATGTTTGCAGCCTGTTGGCAAAGATGTTTTAACTTCATTAATACTAATGTTAGTACATGAAAAGAGCATCATTAGCAAAAATGTGTCACCGTTGCTTATTTATTACTATATTTAAATTCTTAGTGTACTTATCAAAATGAAACAGTAAGTGAAAAATACAATAAGTACCCAGCTACAGTTGTATACAAACGTTTGGGCCCCCCTGGCCAAAATACCTATTTTGTTTTATTTTTGAAGTGAAAAGAAGTAAACTTTACCTCTAACTTCAGTCAGCTGTTTAGAGAAGTTCATAGTTGTTGAGTGTTAGCAAAAGGTTTAAAGAGTCAGAGAATTTATTATCATCAGCTCACAATACCTAATGATTCTTTACCTGCCTAGCCCAGTTCTAAAGAGTCAATTAAGACGTATAGAGTTGGTAAAGTTTTGAGATTTTACAACTGGAAGGATGACCAAACTTTTGCCCATGTCATATTTTTTTCTTTTTACGTTCATCTAATATGAAGTAACTGTGCATTAATATTTGCATAATAATTCAATTTTTAAAATAGTTTGCTGCTGCAGTTGTGTTAACCTCTTTTCACTTTAAAATACAACAAAATAAGTAATTTGTTCTAGCGTGCCCAAACTTTTGCATACAGCTGTATATTTCCTGATTGTAAAGACTTTCTGTATACAGAATGATTCTTAGTATTCTGCCCCATTTAGATGCGTTTAGTATTGTCAGGGATGCAGGCTTTCTTTTTCCATTACAGTGATGAATATCACTGTATAATATTATTTAAAGCATATTAAAATTGATCTACTTACTGCTAAAATCACTACCACAATAATAAATATTACATTAAATGCAATGCTTGTGATAAGTCCTCCTCCTAATGCCTCTGAAAGAAAACAGAATACAGATGATTAATCAAAAAAAGTGACATCATTTCTTAGTTATGTTGATGAGTATGCACTAGCACAGATTGTTAAAATCAATAAAGTTGTTAAGATAAAGTAGAGAATATCATTTTTTTTTCTTAAAACAATATGAGAAATGCAGATTCATGGAAAGATAGTAATGAAGCAGTCACTGTTTTAAGGCTTAAGATTTTATATTCAAGGACCCAGTTCTCGCTAATGAAGTTGTCACCAACCCTCCATCTGGAGATCTACTTTCTTGCAGAGTTAGCTCCAACCAATGCATCTGAGCCAGCCAGTCAATGACTTCTGAAGACGTTAACCAGCTGGACCACCTGTGGTTGCAACTAGACTCTGCAGGAAAGTGGATCTCCACGGCCAGGCTTGGTGACCACTGCACTAATGAGTATCACTCAGCAGGAAAGCAAGCCTGTCTACCAGTGTTTACCTTTTGCATATTTATACAAACCTGTTTTACTGCACAAATTAACAGATGTATCACCATGAATGTTGTCCACTGTGCCTAGAAAAAAGTAAACACTGATGAAGGACATTAAATATGAATAATATATTACTTTGTGGACACTTCAGGGGTCACTGGAATGCTTGGGTTAAAAAGAAAATCAGTCCATCTTAACAATATAAGGTAACTGATTACACTGCTCTTCTTGGTTTAACTCAGCTTGAGGACATTATAGTTCACTCAATTCAAACTTCTTAGTTTGGTTTTTAGTCGGTTGCTTCACTAGCTGAGACTCTCCTCATCACTCAGTCCCATCATATATTTTATTTTCTTGGGATCCCAGTTATAGATGGCTACAGCATCAATGGGGTTCAAACTGGAGGGGATTTAAAGTACAGTAATGATGCTGATAAATTGCCTGTGCAGGATCATTTCACTCAGTAACTTTTAGGCAACCTCTTACACTGAGATTGCTTTAGGGGAATATTTTTAAACCAGACCCTTGAGGAAAGTGGTTGTTCCCCCTTACGTTCTCTTACATGTGCCTTAAAGCTGCATTAAAAAAAATAGCCAACAGTTTTCTCCCCGGAGGGCGCTGCAGCAAGTAAAAGTATGAAATACTGAGTGTTACTAAAATGTTCACAGTCTCTCTCACTTCTGTATGAAGTGGTCAGTTCTTTCTCTGTTCTCTTTAATAACAGGAAAACTTTTGAGAAGTTTTGCTCATTAGAGGTTTTTGGTTTGTACAGTCTACAAAATTTTAAAGGCCATGTGGAAAACCCAGCGTTCCTGTTCACGCCAGTCCGTGTACGGAACTTGCAAATAGCCAGCCTGTTTTGAATTCATTGTTCTTGTGATTTCATGAAAACCAACTCATTTACGTACATCGTTCAATTCTGCCTACAGTGGTTTCTAAGTTCTAAGGAGGTTTTGGGGCCTAAACTGCTTTTTGAGTGAGACATGATACAAGGCAGCCAATCAGAACACAGAAAAACTGCATATACCAGCCTTAAAGGCACAAAGACAAAAACAGCTTGTTTAAAGCTAATTAAGAGAGGTTGGACTGATGTTCATGGAAACATGAATTTTGACCATTTTTGGTACATAAAACACAGAAATCTTATGAGTGGGCCTCGGGGAACAAAAACAAACACAAGAAAGGAGCAAGTAAACATGGCATGTGAAGGAAGAAAGACAAAGTCCAAAGTTGATGAATTGTGCATTGTTGGAATGAAAACCTGCAGCCACACTGGCCTTTTGCAGGTAAGACCGGACACCCCGTTATACAGACATGGATGTTTGCTAGTGTGTGTTTGTGTGAGACAGTGTATATGCAGTGCTGAACTGGATCTGCACAAATGACATCTGTTTTGTGGTAAATATATCTAATTTTGATCTAGTCTAACTTATTAGCATACATACCTTCATACATCATTGTGCAGTTCAGGTGTTCTGTCAGGTTCCATTTAGGATTTGCTCTGATGCATCTGCTCACTTATAGAAATGAGGGAAGACAGAATGTTTACTTTTAAACAATTTGAACATTTCAAATAAATTTGTGATTTACAGGACAAGACTAGAGCTGTCAAAGATTCAGCTGCCACTGAGTGACATCTCTACCTACTAATGTGATAGTCATATGCTAAAATTTGAACACCTCCAGTAAAAGCACATGTTTTGCTGGTTTTCTAAGTGAAAGTAAGTTAACACATCCTCTACAGGGAACAAGCATAATATTCTATTTTTCAGCAAATTATTTAGTGCATCATTTCTTTCTATTTATTTATTTCTGAATTTGAACATACTGGACATGGATATGTTATGGATAGTTTATGGAGTTTATGGACACTTCCATTGTTACTTGTAAGCACATTTTTATTTTTTATTTTTTTTTGTGTCTCTCCCAGTCTCTCCCTTTACTGCTTTGCCATCAGTCATGTGAGGAGGACCTCTGACCAATCAGAGTCCTGGGCTGGTGTTGTTGGGGGAGGAGCCTAAGCCTTAAAAGGAGGCCTTTAAGGTGGCTGAAGAGAGAGAGGACTGATCATGTGTGCTGTGTTTTAGGTTGTGGTTTTCATCTCTTGTGTTGGGCGTTTGCTGGTGTTTTAGGTATTTTACCAGTACGTCTTTTAACGTGGAGCAGGAGAGTCTCCTGTTATGGGAAGTGCTTTAGTTTTGGTATTTTACCTGCACACTTTTAACTTTGTCTTACAAGAGACTGATTAATTGTACCACCTGGGGTTAAAATAGCTAAGAAGGGCACGCCTATACATTCGCACCATATAGTACACTCTGTCTAATTCCCTTGGTCAGAGGGCAGGCACTGCCATATAAACTTTTAATAACTGGCCAGGGATGAGTAGAGTATTTAGCTTTTGTTGCCTTTTTGTTTCAGAGCAGGCAAGCATGGTTAGGTTCTTTGTTCTTTTCTTTGCCATCCACAGTTTGACTCTTCCAATGTGGTACTAGATATCATAGCACACCATTTTATTGTGGTTGGTTTTAATAAAATGGCTTGAAAAGCTCTCTTGGCCTGTTCTTCCAGTTTTTCAATTCATCATTACCATTTCAGTCTTTTGATGTCACTTCTCTATCGGTGAGGTCAGTGTTACCTAGCTGTGTTTACAGCAGTGTGGTTACTGGTGTCTTTGTTCTTTAAGCTTTGCCTTGTAACCTGTTTCCATATAATGGACTTGCCCAGTGTGTGCTAGCCTGCCTGTTTTCTGACCCCTGCCTGTGACTAATGAGTCTTGGAATAAAGTTACTTCACACATGCCGCCTGCCTACAAGTCCTTTTATTAAAAGGGGTGCCCAAACTTTTGCATATGACTGTATATCACTAATGCATGCTTCACTGTAGCCTCGTGGTGCCGAGTGTGATTTTGAAATGAAATCTGGTGAGAACCATAAGAAATTTTGTGCTAGCTTGTTTTGCTTGAGTTATTGCTTATTCTCTCAGTGTTAAAAGATAAATTTGGGGGGTGGGTTTTAGAGGGGATATTCCGTTGTTAGCGGTGGATGTTGCTGCAGTCCAGCACCAAAAGTTTAACAACTCAGCTACGTCTTCTCATTATGAGTTCATATCTGCCACTTCAAGACTGGTTTCACTGGAGAGCAGAATAGATTTAATTACCAATCAATCATCAATCAACCTTTATGTAAACCCTGAATACACTGAGGAAGACCCTCATTTACAATGCAGCCGAGCAGTACAGAAATCAGGGACTGAGAAGTTGGGTAGTAAAAAGAAATCAAAAGTTATAATAATAAAAAAAAGTAAAACAATAGCCGAGACATAACTAAAACATCATATTCATAGCCAAAATATGAAAATCATCATTGAAAATCATTAAAAGTTAAGTAAAATCAAATAAAGCAGCTGCAGGCTGATTGGAGGTGGTTAGAGACTTAAAAGTTTAGAATATTCATGTGACACCAGAGAGTGAAGTTTTAGAGTTTCCTGTAATGAATTCCATCTCACTGGTGCTACAGCTAAAGGCAGATTTTCCCAGTTCAGTAAAAGCTCTCAGCACCTGAAGGTTTAATGACTGGAACGAGTCTGATCAACTGCATTATTTACACTGCGCAGTTCTGTGGCGTACGATGGCAGATGGCCAGTAAGTGCTTTATAGATAAAAAGAAGCCGGTGTGTCTACCAACGCACAGACAGAGATGACCAGCCAACCTTTTCATATAGTATACAATGCCACAAGGTGCTGGCCTACTACTAGTACCTACAATTAATAAAGAACATCAGGGGGGAGAGCCTTCTCATACAAAGCCCCTCAACTTTGGAATAATCTTCCTATTAATGTTCAGGACTCAGACACAGCCTCAGTCTTTAAGTCTAGGCTAAAAACTTACTTGTATAGTCAAGCCTTTGGTAATTAGTTTTCCCTGTAAGATCTAGACCTGCCAGAGTCTCTGCTGCTCTGTTAATACTGTAATCTGTGATCAGTCACTTATTACAGAACTGACTCTCTGTGTGTTTATACTTTCTTTGCCGAGTTGAACAGCTGCCCATCCTGCATGTCTGATGCTGTTGCCTCTTCTGCCTTGATTGAGTGGCCACTGCTCGCCAGCCTTCTGGACTGGCTTGACCACCATCGAGCTTCATGCTGTACAATGCTGTGTAATCCTCACCCTCATGAACTGACGATGCTGCTGCTGCTGCATAAACTAAAACTAATCTAATTAACCATTGCTTCACCTGTTTTCCCCATTTTGTACTATAATACTTTATAATAACAATGTTTGCTATCCGGTGTCGACCAGAGGAGGATGGGTTCCCCTTCTTTCAGGTTTCTTCCTCTTGCTCTTAGGGAGTTTTTCCTTGCCACTGTCGCCATTGGCGATGCTCATAGGGGCTTGGACCCAGATTTTTCTTTTTATGTAAAGCTGATTTTCTTTTCTTTTCTGTAATGCTGATTTTTCTGTAAAGCTGCTTTGTGACAACACCTGTTGTAAAAAGTGCTATATAAATAAACTTTGCTTGCTGCTTGCTATACAATGATGGGTGTTGTTGGGGTCAACAGTAATAAATCTTAAGGCAGCCTGATATACAGAGTCTAGAGATTTCAAAGTAGTTACAGGTGCATATCTGTATAGCACATCACCATAATCCAGAACAGGCAATAATGTCGCTTCAACGATCTTGATCCTTGTGTGCTTTGGGAAACTTTTTTATGATATAGGGAGCCAAGTTTTTGTTTCAGTTTATATGTAAGTTTGTTAACATGTTGTTTAAAAGTGCATTTGTCATCTAGCCATATGCCAAGGCTTTGTACTCAACAAACTCTTTCAATGGCAGATCCCTTCAGGGTTGTGATTTTAAAAGTGCTAAAATCAATGTTAGAGGCTCTGGAAAACAGCATGAATTTAGTTTTTTCAACATTTAAGACTAGTTTATTGTTGTAAAAAGCCAACCGTAAGACATTAAAAGAACGCTGCAGTTTATCCACTGCAATGCCAATAGAGTCAGATGAGCAAGACAGTGTCATCAGCATATAAGTGTACTTTGCAGTCAACAACTGAGGTGACAATGTCATTAATATCAGTATTAAATAATTCTGGTCAAAGGATTGAACCTTGAGGGACCCCCTTTGTTACTGGAAGTAGCTCTGATTTACTTTGTCCAAGGGCCACACATTGCTGTCTATCAGAGAGATCAGAGAGAGTTTCTAATCCAGTTAGCAGTGCCCCTGAGATATATATGATCTAAGAGTAGGGAATGATCAACTGTATCAGAGGCTTTAGAGAGATCAATGAAAATGGCTGTACATTGTTTCTTTTTATCACTGAAAATATCATCTAAGATGAGAGTAGCCTCAGATATTGTGCTGTGCTTTTCTCTGAAACCAGATTGGTAGTCTGATAAGATTGAATTTCTATGCAGAAATGTCTTGAGTTGATCATTCACTAAGCTTTCTAAGATCTTGGCTAAGCATGACCATTTTGAGATGGGTCTATAGTTATTAAGATCAGAGGCATTACCACGTTTGTGAAGTAGAGCTGTATGTACTGGCTTCCAGATGCTGGGAATTTTGCTTGATAAAATAAATTAAAAATATATGTAATATGTTCTAAAATAACCAGGGTCACAAGCCTTAGAAAAAAAAGGGGTCCAAAGTGTCCTGTACTTTTTTTAGTGTTGATGCTGTTAAGTGCTTTGGCCGCTAAGTGAGGAGAGAAAGGGTGAATTGTAAAGAGACCATGTCTTACAGCAGAGGGTGTATCTATTTCATTGAGCGGTGCTTCCATGTTACTATTATCGAATAAATGTCCAGCAGCTGCAAATTGAGTATTAAATGCTTGGTAAATTTCTATCTGATTAGTAAACCGTTTATAGTTAATTACAATATGATTTGGAACGGGCATTGATTTGTTATTGAGCAAATTAATTGTCTTCCAGAATTTAGAGGAATTGGTAGCTGAGGTTGTAAATGTCTGGAGGTAGAATTCTGCTTTAGATTAGGAAGATATTTCTGAATTGAACCAGGGGTTTGATCTGTCTCTAATTCTCATGTTTTTTTTATAGGGGGTGTGCTTGTCAATGTCATCAACATAAATATTAAATAATTCTGGTCCTAGGATTGAACCTTGAGGGACCCCCTTTGTTATTGGAAGTAGCTCTGAGTTTTGCAAAAATGGTTAAATCAATATCTGGGATTTCAGAAGTGTAGTGGATTTCACTGAGTGCCAGGTCGTAAAAAGTCATTTTATCAGGTGTGTTGGATAAAATTAAATCTATAAGTGTTGACATATTGGGGTCATGCAAGTTAGGTTGTGTTGGTTCTGTAATTAGATGCATTAGTGACAGATTTCCACATACTTCCTTCAAGTGATCTGATGCATTAGTTAACCAGTTCAGATTAAAATCATATAGGATCAGCATTTCTGAGTTGAGGTATGGATTTAAAAGTTCAGGTAATTCATCTACAGTATGAGAGGGTGCAGAAGCAGGTCTATAGATCCCAGCTACCACAAAGCTGTTATTATGTCCTGTGCACACCTTTTAAGGCTAAAAGCTCAAAACATTTTTCTTTAGATAATGAATTAAGAATTTGATGTAAATAGCCACTCCACCACCTCTGTATAGATTATAACCTGGTAGGGCTGCTTCAGTGTTTCTCAGAACCATGTAAAACAGAACCTTATTTCAGTCTCAGAATTTACTCAGTGACAGAGAGGTTATTATGTAGTTCAATGTGATCAAAACGTCCTCTTTTACAAGGACAAGTCCTGTTTTTAGGACCTAAAATATACGTCCCGCCACAATTTCTAAACTGACTAAAATGTCTGGGATTTAGCTTTGCTGTCATGTTGACATTTGCTTTGCACAGTCTGGTTTGTGCTGTCTTCCCAGTGTACTTTTTTGAGATTATGGTCACCTTAAAGTGATTGTATACATGACCATAAGATAATGTGAATGTGCATTCATATATGTGTTCATGATGAACCACTCAGCAAATTCTGTAATTCAGTGGTAACATACCCCCAATCCATTATTTGGTTTCTTAAAGGGAGAGTCCACTGTTTTTTCAAATTTTCTGCATACTTATTCACCAAGTTGTTCATAGTGCTTAAAAATGAAATGGTGCATTTTAGAGGAAAAAAAAATGTAAACATGCATTTATTTTAGTGGTGAAAAGTGTTGTGTTTGGAGGTATATTTTTTGGTCCTATTTTTGCCTAACGACATCCTGCATGTCCCTTTTGACCACAATGTAATATAAGGGTCCAGCTTGTGCTACCAGCCACCAGCAGAGGGCAACAGTGGTGAGGCGCTGCAAGTTCAGGAAACTCCAATCTCCAGAAGCCCTCGGGCTGATTAGGCCCAACCTGGCACACCTGTGGCCTCCTCTACTTAAGGCCGTGGCAAACAGCAGCCCTTAGTCACACCTTTGTAGAAGGGTGACCGCTATGGTACCTAGCCCACATGAGTATTTAAATAAAAAGAAAAGGAAAGAAAAGAGAGCTGGAAAAACCAAATAAGAAAAATTGCCCCAAAGCTACTTAAAAACCCCAAAAGAAGGCTTAAACAAGAAATGGCTCCAAGCCATACAAAAGTGTTTGCTCCCCGAAGAGCAAACAGGTGAAACATAAAGCTGAGCTTCCTCTAATAATTACAGAGAAAGTGATTTCTGTTTTCTGATTATCTTTTATTTCGCTTTTTCTGTCTCAGACTTTGTTTGAGCACTCTGTACATGTGCAATCAGTACATCGGCAGTTCGAGCCTGGCTCGGGGCCACCTCAACCCCACCGTGCATAAGCACTCAATTCACACGCCATCACCTCATTAGATTCATTTCTTAGGGGTTTTCCTCTCTGCACTTCGGTCTTGGGTCTCCCTCTCCAGAACAATTAAAAAATTAAAGAACAAAAATTAAATTTATTTATTTAAAAATTGAATAAATTAATATGTTGGGCTAAAACAAACATAAAACAATGTCTCAAGCATCAGACAAATTTTCCATAACTTTCTATAAGGTAGTTTTTATATGCATAAAAGGAGAATTCTACTTATTTTTCAAAAAATACTGTATGTTTAGTCTTTGAGATGCAAACAAAGTCATACCCAGTGAGTTTCACATCTGTAAACTATCACCACTGTCATATGTTCCTATCGCCACCACTGTGAACAATTCTGACTTGGTAAGTTTCTCTACAAATGCACATTTCACTCAAACACTCTGATTGATTTAGATCTTATCAGCTGAGTTAGAAAAATATTCGCAAAAACAATATGGAATTTCCCTTTAAATAAAGCAATAAAATAAATATTGATAATCATGAAGAAGAAGAAGAAGAAGAAGAAGAAACGAAACCTACCATCATGTTTAAGAACACACCGTGAACTACCAACGTCCTTAAAAAGCTGATTGGGAGCCCATCTACAAGATTTCGGTGTAGCGCAGATGTGCATTTCATGTTCACATTTCACATCAACACTGCAATCAATTTCATCCATTTCATTTTCTCCAGCAAGGAAAAAAGAGTGAGAAAGAGCACAACATGAAAAGATGTTGCTTCAAATGAACTAAAATTACATTTATCCTGGCCAAGATTTGCATTTCACATACTGCCCCAACTTTTTTGGAACTGAAGTTTGTATGTTCCTCGCTTTATTTCCAGATAAACATACAAACATGGTCAGTTTGATCTGCTGATTGTACAGTACTGTAGTTGTGCTTTAAATTAAGTAAATATTTCTACAAACCTTTTGTGATTTCGCATTCTAGATGACCAAGTACTTGATCAGGAAAGCCATCGAATCCACATTCTTTACTTGAGTTACAGAAGCTCACAGTCTGTAGGACATCATTTCTAATGCAGTGCATCTGTAAAGCTGGGAAATAAGAAATGTGAAGCTCAGACATCAGATTCTGTTATACTGAGTCTCTAACATTGAGCATTATAGAAACATGAACATGACACTTTATTCTGAATGGACCTTTTTAGATGAAATAAACACTCAACAGTCTGTCAGTAACGTAACATAACGATGGCTAAATTTCCTTTGGGATCAATAAACTATATCAATGATGTAGCAGCAGTGAATACATTCAGTAGATTATCAAGAGATGTTTAATTAACCATGTAAATAAAATTCATATAAAATCTGCTGAATTGAGTTGGGTGCTTTATTTGGTGTCCAACTTCATATCTGTAGATGTTTAACCTGAGAGGAACTGAACATGTAACAGGTTTAATACAGACCATCTCAACATCCTCAACCAGCTGTTATAGACACACTGACACCACTCAGTACCTGTTTCACTGGATTAGGTTTTGGGCTGCGCTTGATCTTAAGGTTAGAATTAGAGTCAGGATCAGGGTTAGAGTTAGGTTTTGGGTTGAGCTTGAGTTTAGGGTTAGGATTAGGGCCAGGGTTATGAATAGGTTTTGGGTTGAGATTAATATGAGAGTTAGGGTGAGGTCCAGGATGAGGGTTAGGTTTTGGGTAAGGTTAGATTTTGTTTAATTGAAGTAGTATATTAAGTCTACTTCATGTAACATATCAACAATATTAACTTAACACAAGTAATCTATCAACCGTACATCAAGACATTTACTTTAATGCATTACCGCCACTTCATACGATCTGCTGTTGAAATGTTACTGATATTCTATCAAGAGTTTATCACCTACAAAGGATCACTCAAAGTATTACAGAAACATGCATTACTGTTGGTATGACAAAAAAAGCTTCTAACATGAATATTTGTAACAAGGCGTTGAAATTTGTAATGCATAATAACGTGCTAGCTGTCAAGCTTGCAGACGTTAACTAACACAAAGGAGAAGTGAAAACAGTGACTCAGACTCACTATCACATGTCATCAAGTCAATCTTCCATGTGCAGAAATCTGGGTCGAGACATGCTGCCGTTGTTATGTTGTTCTGAACATCACATTTTATTTGTACCTGTTGAAAAACTAAAACACTGTATAGGTTTAAATGTGGTGGGATCACAGTTGTACCAGTGAGGAAGGACTCTCTGTTGAAGGCTGTATTGCATATTTTTGCACTCATATAAACAAAACCGGATAAATTTTGTAACTGTTGAAATCTAAATTATGAAGAAAGAATAATAGTGTCCCCAGTTAATAACATGACAATTCTTGTACAGAATCCAAGCCTTAAGATGTGCTTCTTTGCCCTACGAATCTGATGGCTACTATCAGTTCACTCAAAATTCAGAATATAAGAGCAAGACCAACAACTGAAGAGTTCATTAGAAGTGAACATGAATTCTGGCTTACCAGACTCTACAGGCAAAAACTTGACCTGGAGCAGCATTGATGTCAAACACAGCAGCAAATCCATTATCTAGATTATCTACAGCAAAAAAGAAAGAAGATGAACAGAAGGTAATCATAAGTAATACAAAATGAGTCTTGACGTATTACTGCTTAGAATCAAACCACAAGTATAAAAAAAAATGATTTTATTAGCCTTGCTTGGTCTTCTTTTTCAGAACCTGAATGGCTTTAATTAATAAAATCAGCATCAGTTATACTGCAGTAGCATATTCATGCTAGAACAACAGTTGTTAACCGTTTATAAACACAAGCTCTAATAAACCGTAATCATTATCTTATAGACTGTTAATGACTGTTAAGAACTGTATAACTATTTCCTTTTAAAATTACCTTTACTCTCATTACTGTACTTGAGTACATATTTCCCCGAAATGGTACTTTTTGGAGTAGAATTAAATCATAGTACTTTTACTGTTACAGTAAAACATTTAATTTTGAGCATATCAGCTTATTAACCGATTAGCATGGTTAAATTTTAAATATTCAGTTCTCAAAGCCAATCAAAAAACAGAGCAGCTTCCAGCCACAAAAAGACTAGAGAGATGGCAAGTTATCAGAACACATGACTAACTTTATCCAAACAGCCATCTTCATTCCTTTTCAAATCAACTAAAGAAAGTGGGGTTATTATGAGCTGTCAAACAGCCTGTCAATCAGCCTGAAACCTGCTGAGATCTGCACTTTCACAACTCAACTTCAGCCTGAGGGCGCAGCTAACTAGCTACCTAATCCTAGCTAAACAGGTACAGTGTTTACTATTTTCTTCTTACTCTTCTGTTTTAGAATAAAATAGGGGCTATTTGTTGAAATTAAAATAAAAAAAGGATTTTATTTTAAGTGCCTGTCTAGCTAGTGTAGTAAACACAGGAGTCAAACTGGACGGTTTACCTGTATAAAATAACTTAGTGTTTTGGATGTAAATGGCTGTATAATAATTCTGTCATGCTCAGATTTGTTTTTCACTTTTGGTTGTTTTTTAGACGTTATTGGTCTAAACAATAATCTGATCAAAGTATGGTGGAGTTCATTTGTTGCGTGCACACAGTACACAGGGGTCATCTCACACAAGTAAGACACTATCAGAGACATCAGAGCGTCAGTCATGTAGTCTTTTTATACAGGCTTATACAGGAAGCAGATAAACTGGGAAGCCTTATATAATTGTCTAATCATGAAGTGCATATAGTTTAATATACACCTTTTTCTTTACACAGTTCACAGAAATATGTGTAAATGTGCACTAGTGGAGCACATTGATCAGTTTCAGGACTCCTTTTTTTTCTCATGTTTCACTGGAGTTTTGCCGGCATAGATTTTTCTGATGTTGCAGAGTCAATTGAGGACATATTTTCATGATGTGATCACTGATCTACAAGAAAGCAACTCAATAACTCCCAATAAACTACTTATTACCCTTACATGAGTAATTTCTTTTATTAATACTTGTACTGAAGTAAATTATTACTACAGCAACCATACTTTTACTTAAGTATGGATTGTCAGTACTCTTTCCACCCTGGTTAGTAATTTAATTATTTGATGCTCCTTACTCAAATAATTTAACTTGGACTATTAAGTTGCATAAAAACAATTCATAATCCTTATGAACAAATGCTTAGTAATTGTATAATTTATTTTAAGTTTCGTTTATTAAAGCAATAAGCCAAAAGAGGCCATGCTGTGATTTCATCATGGGGAAGTGTTCTTAGGCATGATGCGAAGTGATAAATTGACAATAACGGATGGCCTCAAGTGATTTACTGCTTTCATAAAATGGCAGCCAACAAAAATGTAATGAAACACAATTTTTCAGGAATTAATAATAATATTAACAATAATCAACTTAAACAAGTATTCCAACTTTGTAACTTTTTGTTGTAGAACAATGAACGTATGATAACACACCACTGTATAACCCTCTACTGCACGCACTACGAGAGCAATTAAAAAAAATATATATATATTTATCTATCTATCTATCTATCTATCTATATATATATATATATATATATATATATATATATATATATATATATATATATATATATATATATTCAATTCACTTTCCTTGCATAAAATGGTCCTTGATTTTATTTTTTCGGACCCAATTTTTAAATTAAAAAAAAATGTGTGCAGTGCTCCTTTTGGAGTATGTTGCCTTGAGGCAACATTGTGCAACAGTGGGGGGAAAAATAATATAGAGCTTTGTTCCATTCCACTGTCACAATGTTGCTTCTATGGCAACATATTTCTGCAAATTTTCATAACAAAAAGTTGATACTGAATGTTTAAAAAGAGGTTTAAATGTGCCCATTAAGAGACCGTATGACTTACTAAAACACTTCCCTTTATTGTTAACCCTATCATTGTCTTTAAATATGTATAATGTCATTGTAAAGTGAGGAAGATGAGTTTGTTGCCCTGTGGCAACATCATGCAATAGAGGGTTAATGCAAAAACTTTCAATTTATAAGTACTTTTTCACCAAATTACCACTGCAAGTCTTATTTAGCAACAATTCAGTGGTACCCTTTTTTCACACTGGGCTGACTCTCAAATGGCTCCCTGCTCCCTACATAGTGCACTATGCAGAAATACTGGATCCTGCACCACCACGGTGCAAAATACAGCTAAGAAATACTTATCTGGGACTCAGACACATTCATACTCAATAAATGATGCATTTGGCTGTAGAGGCTAAACATTTCTAAACTGTTAGAACATATTTATAAAGGTATTTTGTTACTTACTACACTTGAATGTAACAGATTTATGAAAAGCATTCAATTATTTGTATGTCACACAGTAAATAATTAACAATTGTATAGTAGTATAGTTTCAGCTATCATTTAACAAACTATGGTCATCAGAAGGAGAAGATATATTTAAATAAATGGTAAAGTAGCTCAAACGATGATACCCTCATCATACAACACCATTCACTCATTTTGTGCTAACATTTAAGTGTTCTCATTTTACGTTGATTATTTTGTTCCAGTATTTATTATCATCTAGAACTGGTGATCTGGACACAACTGGACACCACTGACAATGGTTCTGCTAACAGTCTCCAAGCCTGATATAAAGACTGTCTGGAAAACTAGTTTAAATATCACAACTAGCACACTGAAATTAACAGAACAAAAAAATACCGCTGCATTTACTGGCGACATCAATATGTATTGCAGTGAGGTCCATAAGATTCTAGTACTTTAGTATGCATTAGAATATTCTGCTTTATCATGATATCCTAAGAGAATATGGGTGCCAACTGTCAAATTAGCAGCAACAAAGCCCCAAAGAGAAATTTGAAACAAAATTTGGAGAATTAAAACAACTGATAAATAAATAGTTTGTTTTTCTTAGAAACACTTGCTAATGTCAATGTTACAACAATATTCAGAAAGAAATGTGTGTGTGTGTGTGTGTGTGTGTGTGTGTGTGTGTGTGTGTATATATGTGTGTGTGTGTGTGTGTGTGTGTGTATATATATATCTCCACTCAAATTGGATCCAAATGCGGACAACTGACAATGTATAAATGTAGAAACTCACCTCTGTCTCCAACAGCTGCTCAGTTGAGATGTATGTCAGATATGCAGAATCAGGCCTCCAGATGTATGTCAGAAATATACATCTAAAGACAGATATGTGACTACGAAAGTCAGAGCCCAACTCTAATGTCCCTGCTATATGAAACTACATGACAGAAAGTCATATGTTTCTGAAACAAAGGCCTGGATATTCCAAACCACAGAGTGCGCATTCAAGCAGCATGTGACAGAAGTGAAATGAAACATTCTGAAACAAGATTAAAATCACTATTCCTCTCACAAGTGTCATTCATACCTGATTGCTGACACTAATATCTTTATTTATATACAGCACATTCAACAGCTACATTTAAAGGCTATTATTATTATTATTATTATTATTATTATTATTATTATTAGACTGCATAGCTATATCTGTAAATATGTAACTATTATTTACTATGTGTGGTTCAGTTGGAAATTTAGAGATTACACAAAAGAGTTTGTACCCTATTGGCAGCCTTATCAACCCCCTGTACTGAAAAAAAAAAAAGAAAAAAAAATCCAGAAAACAATCTAAAAGGTTGTCAAATGTACATTACTTGGACAAAAGTATGTGGACACCTTACCATCACACCTATATGAGCTTGTTGAACATCCTTTTCCAAAGGATGGAGTTGCCCTCAGCCCTTCTGGCTATAACAGCCTCCATTCTTGTGGAAAAATCTTTTCACAGCAGGAAAGGCAGTTCTCCTGGTATGCACCAAATACAGATTCATCTATCAGACTTCCAGACTAAGAAGCATGAATAATCAATCCATCGCTCCAGAGTCCAGTGTGCATTATACCACTCCAGCTGACACTTGGCATTGCGCATAATGATCTTAGGCTTGTGATATGTTATGTTATATTTTATACAAAAAAATACACACACAGTTTCTGACATTACAGTTTCTGTAAATGGCTGTTTCATGAAGAATTGATCAAAAGATTTTATTTTTATATATAAATAAAATAACCATAATCTGGCCACATTTTATGTATGTATGCTTGGTGCACAAGCCTAAAAATGCACATGGAAAGACACAGATTGCACTTTTCCCCCTTATGCACATGTACTTGCCAAATATGCCCATTTTTAATTTGATGCCAGAAACAGGTTTAAAAAAAAACATGGAGGAAAAAATAAAAACAGCTGTGTAATGCTAAAAAAACACCTGGTGGAACATTTCACAACTAATTAGGTTGATTTGCAACAGGTCAGTAACATGATTGGGTATAAAAAAGCATCCCAGAGAGGCTGAGTCTTTAAGAAGTAAAGATGAGGAGGGGTTCACCACTCTGTGAAAGACTGCATGATCAAATAGTGCAACAATTCAAGACTAATGTGACTCAACGTAAAATGGATTTGGGGATTTAATTATCTATGATACATAATATCATTAAAAGATTCAAACAATCCAGAAAAATCTCTGTATGCAAGGGACAAGGCTGAAAAGCAATATTGGATGGTCAGATCTTTGGGCCCTCAGGTGGCACTGCATTAAAAACAGATGCAATTCTGCAGTGGAAATCACTGCATGGGCTCTGTGAACACAGTTTTTCGATGCTTCCACAAATGCAAAATAAAAATCTACCAAAAATAAACAGGAACCAGAAATGTTGCCACCTTCTCTGGGCCCAGGCTTATTTAAGAGGGACTAAGGTGAAGTGGATAAGTGTCCTGTGGTCCATACATACATACATACATACATACATTTTACATATCTGTAAAAAAAAACCTGTAAAGGGCAAAAGGACCATGTAAAGTAAGGAAACTCTTAATCAGATGATTAACATGATTTTTATACAAAGTACAGCAGCCCTGCACGAGTGTTGTCTTAACAGTATTCTGGGCTAATTGTTTTGCATCCGCTTTTGAATTATTAATGCACAGATAAAGATGGTAGTTAAGAAGAGCAGAAGATTAAAAGAGACAAAGAGAGTTTTCAGCCACAGACGTGGAGGCTCTTCATTTGGTTCTGAAAGTAAAAATATAAGTTATAAGCTTCTTAAGTAATATTAGATCACATTTGACATTGAAGTTGTATTGTCCATCTTAACAGAGGTTAAACATGTTTCATAGGTATATGTATGCAAACAATTGGGCACACCTGGCCAGATTACATGTATTATTGAATTTTGAGGTGAAAATAAAAAAACTATCTCTGCAAGTTGGGCACTTTTCCAGTTGTAAAGTCTCTGAACTTAAATATCTCATTAGGCCTTAATTGACTCGTTATGACTGTTTTAGGAAGGTCAAGGATGATCATTAGGAATTGTCAGCTGATGAGCGTAATAAACTCTCATCAATTCTTGTTCTTACATTCAACAGCCATGGGCTAACAATCAGAAACTAATAATAACAAGGGAAAAATAATGTTAAGGGAAAATCTGCTTTGACTAAAGTTAATTTTAAGATAAAGCTAAAATAAATTATTTAATCTTAGAAAGCTGGTACCACTTTAATCAAGTTACAACAATCAAATGAAAGTGAGAATAATACAGAGTAACAGCATTCTTACCCCATAGAGACACAAACAACAAGAACATCAAAAGTCTCATTCTGTTACGTTCTCAGCTCTTGAATTTACTGTCGCTAGTAACAACTTACAGGTTGCAAAAAACCACACTCTTCTGGTGACATACAGCAGTGCAAAGATGCAATGCTGACAAAAAGATGTGTGAGTACCCTTAAGTCAAAAAAGCCACAAGCAAGTGAGAGCCAGGCAGTAAAGACCAGCACGCTTAAGTCAGAAGAAGCCACAAACAAGTCTAGGCCAGACCATAAAGGTTGATGTGTTTTTTTTCTTTACTTTATTTCTTTATTCTGTATGATCATCTGACATCCCACAGAATCATTCCTTTAGTTTATGGTGTCAGCCATCCTGAATGACCACTCTGAAAAGTGCATCTTTCACACACTCTTTTCTTGCATAATAGAGTCTATACCTGCACTGATTTTACTAGATAAGATTTTGTGTGTTTTGAAAGTGTTCAGGCATCTTGAAAGTTTTTTATTTTATTATTTATTTATTTATTTTTTTTTATTTATAAATGATAAACAGAAAAAAATATCATTGGTCAGTTCTTGTTAGCTAGCAAATGTTAGCTTATCCTAAGCAGGCATCTAAGTTTGGCAAAACAGCTAAGTAGGTAACTAACTTCCCAGCCAGCTATGTCTCCCTTAAAATAACTAACAAGATGAACTGGTTGGGGCCAAAACAACGTCCTCCTGCAACAACACAGAACAGCTTAATATATGATACGTTACAACACAAAATCCGTTTAATTGTTAGCCTAATTTATGTTCTGAATGCATAAGCTGGACTACTCTGTCTTCACTATCATGATTACCACCAGCCAGAAATAAACCAAAAGATTAGTTAATCTAGAATGTATTGTAGCATCTGAAAACAAAATTCCAAAATTGTCAAAATTCACAAATGAATACCTGTGACCTTTGACCCCTAAGATGGTACTGCATTAAAAAGCAGCAAATCTGTTGGATATCACCACATGGACTCAAGAATACTTTGACAAACCATTGTCAATCAACACCATTTATTACTACATCCACAAATCCTAGTGAAAATATTTTATGCACAGTTTGGAAACAGATTAATGAGGAAGCCTTATAATCATCTAGTCATGTACAGTAATCTGATATCGCCACATCAATTCAGATATATTCATGTTGTGATCACTGATCTGCAAAAAACTCGATGTCTCAATTACTTTCTAATAAACTAGTTACTCTTACTTGAGTAACTTAGTAATTTTCTACATTCTGTTTTAAACTATTTACTTCAACTACTTGTTCATAATTGTTCTGCTTCATGATTAATACAGATTTCCTCAATGCTTTGTTAATCATTATTAAGAGTATAATTGGTACTTTAATCAATTATTAGAGCTTATTGTAGAGTTGTAACTTCATAATGTATTTTTAAAGGTATATCATGTGACTACATCTATATATAATACATTTGTGAAAAGCATTTATTTTTTTGTTTGCCACTAAGTAAATCCTTAAATGTACTAATTAGATAATAATATGTATAGAGGCCTGCTATATAAAAATTGAGGTGTTGAGTGAGGTTGAGTTCCTCCACAGCACACTCGTCAAACCATGTCTTTATGGAGCTAATTGTATCCAAACTGGACTGCGCTGGAACTAAGAGGCCCAAACCCTGAAAAACAGCCCCAGCCCATTATTCCCTCCTCCACCAAACGTTACCGTCAGCACTATGCATCCTTAAGTTCCCAGACAGTGAAGTGTAATTCATTACTCCAGAGAATGTTTCCACTGCTCCAGACTCCTGTGGTGGCGTGCTTTACTCCACTCCAGCCAATGCTTTGCATTAAGCATAGTGATCTTCATCATCAGGCACATCAGCCTTAAAATGCCGTTTTCTGCCCTTGCGCATGGAAAATTGCAGAATCCTCTACTCCCTCTAAAACATATGCACTTGAGAGGGGGCTGCGCAAAATGTGGGAGGATTACACAAAAAGGGGAGATGTTAAAAGTGCAGATGATCACATATTCATACCTGAAGTATTAACGTTTCAGCAGTTTGCAGTGTCTGGTTTTGAATTGATTTTTCTTTTAAATTCAGGTGTAAATTTGCTAGTAGAGCAGAGTAAATGCAGCTTAGATAGAAGCTCTAGACTTTGCCTCACAGTTCATACATATAATGTTTGTTCTGTTTGGGAGCAGAAGGAGGAAGGAGGTTGTAACCCTGAGAACACAGCATAACACATTTTGGGTCTTGCCAAATTATTTATTCTCAACAAGATCAGTAATGTTCATACACACCACCTACACTCCTCTGCTGCACAATAAAATGTCAACTCTGTTTTCAGCTCCTCCTTTTGTGAACAATTCAACTGAAAGTATAATGAAGTGCTTAAACATATGTTTATTAAATCAAATGAGATTAGTGAATGTTAGACTCCGGCAACTTGGCCACAAGATAGAACTTGTAGTAGCGACAAATTGTAGTTGAACATAAACTATAAAGGAATGACTTGTTGCTGCAAAAAGCTATGAATGCACCCTGTGATTGTGTGAGAAGATGTGATGCAGTCGCAGTGTGTGCCA